TTGGTAACATCTATAAGATTACGTATCAATATAAACGATTCCTTTTGCATCCGTTCAACATTAAATAAAGCTTGAACGTGATTGTTAACAAGTAGCCTCTTATTGTCGTATCTGCTGCATAACAATTTCCATGCAGCTTCGTAATTATCGGCTTTAAAGTCTAAATTATCAATGACTAGCAGAGCGCTGCCTTTAAGAGACGCGTGAAGATAATGCAACTTATTTATGTCATCCATATCCTGTCTTGAATGGATTAATGAATCAAAAGTATCTCTAAACCTAAGCCAATGCTGATAGTGACCATGGAAAACGGGCAAGTCAATTTTTGGCAACCGAACACAACTGAATTTAGGTGCACTCGCCTGTACATCCTGATAACTCGAGACGGAACTACCCGGAAGGTCGCGCTGGTTGTGACGTGGGCCGAGTAGACCGCGAGCCGCCGCAACCAGCGTGTGGAATTGCTCTTCGAATTGTTCACGTTCTTGGAGTTCATCGGCGGGATTCTCCGAAAGCATCTCAATCTCCATCTGTAAATCGTCAAAAAGAGGGTAGATTGCTTCAAACTTGTTAAAGCGACTTTCCAGATCTAAATATTGATCTCGGCTTAGGTCAGATGATCGTTTAAGCAAAGCAATGTAATTTTTAAAAATGGTTAATTTTGATTTTATGCTGCTACGCTTTTTTATAAGTTTTTCTCGTTCCTTTGTATCGGCCATACTAACTGATGTTTAATATAAGAAAATCTGAAGATAAAATGTGCAAAAACAAATACTACTGTTAACAACTCCAAAAAAATTGCAAGAATCGAAACAAAAGAATGCGCCGGGCGCCGAGCGATAAGAAACAAAAGAACAGGTGTGCGGCTGCCGGCCGATGCGCTGGCGCTGTGCGTCTATAGTTTTTATAATTATGTTTATAAGCTACGTTAATAGTGTTTATTGAATGGAATATTTATATTTTGTGAATGTAAGAAACGAAAGAAGAAATAATATGATGCACTCAGTAAATTGGACTATTTTGAATTTAATAGCAATAAGAAAGGAATATTATGGAATGTAAATAAGGAATAATTGGAACGGACTCACAAATACCCAAACCGTCTTTCTTCGGGAAACGTAGTCCTTTCGCCTCAAAACTTCGACGGGTTCAAAGTCCAACCTGCGTACCGTCTTCTAAATTGCAAAATTTTCTGAAGCTTGCGTGGTTGCGTTGCGTCGATTCTTCGTAAGGATAAGACCGTAGATAGGCTCCTAAAGAAATCTCGCTGCTGAAGACCGCACTGAAGAGCTTCTTGAAAATTTTCGTACGACGACCGTCTAATTTTCTGTCTTGCAACCTCGAAGGACCAATGATAAGGGTCCTATGGGGACTTTAAATAATGTGGACTGTAATTATAGTAAACTGGTATATTTATACAAGACAGTTAGACAACATATTATGAACGCGGTTGGGCCCGTGCGATGCTGTGCGAGGCGCGTGAGCAAGTCTCCGCCGCCGCGGCCGCTCGTCCCCGTGGTCGTGGTTCCTCCTCCCGCACGTCTCCTCCCGTGCGTAAGACTGGTCGGCGACAATTATAGAGAATATAAAATATTACTTACTCTATACTTACATCTTTTTATGTCATACCAAAGTATTTTTTTGTGATTTTTTCAATTTAGGGGTTGTTTGCAAGGGTTGTAAGATTTTCAAGGGGTTGAAAATGATTTTAATATGAGGTAATTATGTTAGAAAATACTTTACAATTTCATCACTTACTATTAGACATGTTTTCTAGCGATAAAATGGCTCAATGTCAATTTTTCCATTAAGGGGTTGTTAACACCCCTTAAAAATAATAGGCGGAGTTCAAATCATTTTCACTTTTGAAGTTAAGGGTAAGATGAGCCTAATTAAAAAATTTCATACAAATCGGTTCAGAGTAAAAAAAATCGGAGGTAAGTCCGTATTTTTCGCTTCAATGACTGCTCTATGGCCAGGGCCCCCAGATGGTGCCAGCGCCGGTGCTAGGCCGTCTTGGTGTTGTTTGAAGGTTAGCGAATGGTCTAACTCTAGTATGGCACTCAGGTATTTTGGTGTAGGATTGTGTATACGGGCTCCCGATGGAAAAAAAATGTTGAAATGGTTATATCAAATAATAAATACATTTTAGACAATTTTGGTTTTATTCTTATCAGAACACATTCTTAATAATACAACGCATGACAGGTTCACAGGAGACAGAAGTAAAAGTAAGGTGCACACATTGGGTAGATTGCATAAGTTTCTTCCCGACAAGGATAGATGGCGCTACGTGTATCGCTTATATTAATTTATGATTATAAAGTTTACCGAATTATAACAGAAACATTCAGTTTTTTGTTTTTGCGAGGCAGTTTGTGAGATGAAAAGCTGCATGACTTTTGTCTTTGCTGGATTCGGAGAAAGCTGGCTAGCTATCAAAGATCTTTTAAATCGTGACCTAAAATAACAAAATACTACAGTAAAATACTAGCGTTTCTTTTACGGAACACTAAGTTAATTTTTGAATGACCAACATATATTATTATAAAGTAGATTATTTTGTTATCTGTTTTTAAAGGTATAATAAAATCTTGTATATCTTTATGAGAATTACTCAAAAATAAAAATGATTCATGTCTGTACTCACCTTGAAACACTCTTCATAAAATTGACGTTTTTAAGAAAGCATAGCAAGTTCAAATGTCGAACTCAATCAAGCTCCAAACACAACAGACCGACAACGGGACTCCTCAGCTAACGTGTAAAATAAACAATACAATTCGAAACTAATTACATTATTTATTTAATGATCCATATGTCAAACGGTAGTAACAAATGGGTTAACATCAGGTGGGGTGGGGCAATTTGTTGGGCTTCGTATATAAAAAATAGGCGTTACCTATATGAGTCTACGGATTGCTGCAGTTATCGTCATCAACATAAGGTGTGATTATGCTCAAAAAAGTTGTTGAGTACAATGTAGACCTGACACGAACAGTCCAGCTAGATAATTGAACTTAGAAAAAGAGATCTCTCGACGAATGCAGCTTTAATGGGAAAACGTCAAGGAAACTGCGAAAAATAACCCCCAACAGTACCTCTATCTGAAATCGTAATTGTTATTGAATACTGATTTCAATTATTAGTTTGTTTCCTTAGTACTTTTCGTTAACAATAACCTATCATAGGCAGTCTCATTTTTTATTTAATAAATCACGCAGGAAAGTCTCTTATCAAAATAAAACTTAAACATAAAAGTGCCTATAAATATAGTAGAGTGAGTCAGTATAACTATCTTATCAAAAAATATCTTTTGATAAAATAACTATAACGAAGGTTCAGACGAATGTGATAAGGACAACATATTCATTTAGGGACGTTACCTATACCTTATGGAAAACATAAGTTAGCTAATATTAACTTTTGGTTTTGTTGTATTTCTGTCTGTCTGTCTGGTGAATGATGAATTTGATCTCTAGCGCCAATGTTGTGCCCTGAACAGAAGGAAGGGGAAGATATGGCGACGTTTTTGCCTTTAAAGCGCAGACCTAGATTTGCTAAGCAATGAAGTCAACGGAGTGTTTGGCACCCCAGTTCAATGAAAAGATTCTCCCATTTCTCCATAGTTCTACCTGTCCAGCCGCTGCATGTCCAAAATATCCCTCATGCACTAAACTATCTCCTGTATAGAAATAAATGTTCCCTAGAAGAATTAAATCAACAGATATGCAGCAGAAAAAGTGTAGAAGATAATACGAAACCCTGGGGCAACACCAAAGCCCTTTATAGTATTGCCAGGAGGCTGAACTTAATTTTGGACGGGAAAACCGCGGGCAACATGCCAACATTGCTATTCTCGGCATCAACATCCTTTTTCGCTCGGAGTTTACCATGGTGGGAATAGTGTTGTAATTGCATTCGATACATGCACGAATCCGTAGTCTCATTGAAAGTAGGTACTCGTACAGCCCTCACGTGTCCTAGTCACACAACGTCATAAATTTATATTTTATTTCTTATGTTTTTAATCACAAATAAAAACACATTAAAACATATAATATAAAACACTTTGACCGGGTACAAGCGCGATTTTTTGATTTTTTATATAAATCTTGACTTGTCGATCCTTTACAGCCTCTTTGCTTAAAATGACCAAAAATCCTGTTCAGGATCTAAACCATGAAAAATGTTATTAAAAATAGAATGATTCGCGCGTTATGCCAATCAAAAATGCTTTATTTCATAACTTCCTTAATAATCATGTTTACCAAATATTACTGATTTCTTCCATATTGCGAATCTAAATCAAAATTAAATAGCCTTTAACCCGTAGTACGTTTCATTAAACCTATTTTCACGACTTCAGTGGCCGAGCGGTATGTACGCCAGGTTTCAAGGTGTCACCTACTTGAGAGGTCCCAGGTTCGAATCCTGGTGGGGGCCGATGTTTGTGTGTAGTATATGTATTCTATCTGATAGCCTAGTATACCATAATATAAGCCTACAGTGCTTACTCTGGGGCTAGGCTCATTGATGTGAGTGTTGGAAATATTAATAAATCCTTAATTATAAACCCTAAGGCTAAATCCTTATGATTCCGTTAACACATTGCCTAATATTCGTAACAAAATGAACGAAATGCTTACTTTTATCATTTACTGTATCAATATCACATATAAAATATAAAATTTTATGTTAATCATGTACTGACTCCTCGGCTTAACTTTAATCGCCAAGACACAAAGTCGAATAGATAAAAACAATAAATTAATTGTCTTCTCTCTACCTTAACAAACTATAGCTCAAGTGCGGACAGTTTGCTCTTATGTCAAAACGGAAGCAGCTATATACTGACAACCCAAAGGGGCGAACTAGTTCTTTAAAGAACTGATGCGAACTAACTCAGCGCTCCCGGTCGAGAACTACTTTGCGCAAGACTAATGATAATGCCACATAACGCCGATACGATGTAATCTATAGCTTACCGCAGTTCTATACATTCGGTCAAATACGTAGGTAATGGACGTTTCACTTTCCAATATTATTTTTAAAACACAATGCGTCATATTTTTTGTGCAAAAGTATTCTTTTTCTGTTGTTTTTGTACCATAGTATTATTCATTTTTAATGTGTTAGTGACAAAAGAAGAAAAATATGAATATCTCAGCATATCAGCTGAGATAGAAGCCAAACAAGATATTTCGAACCGAAATATCGATGAATATCTAAAAGATCCTAATATAAAGTACTTATTGGAGTGGACGTCACCGATCACAGAACCTTTTATATTTTTAGACATTGGCCAAAAAGGATTCATAAGGCGACGCTGTCACTACACCAACTGCTTTGTTACAGCCAACAGATCATTATTAGGCGATATCAGACAGTTCGATGTAATCTTATTCCACGGACCGGAAATCAATCGGAATTTTAAAAATTTGCCCGTCGTCAGGTCGAGGCGCCAGAAATTCGTTTACGCTTCTATGGAATCATCTCATTACTACCCACTTTGCTCAAACAAAATGGACAATTATTACAACTGGACATGGACATTCCGTCTGGATTCGGACGCAAGATGGGGTTACATACTCGTTAAAGATAGAAACGGCACAGTTATTGGGCCCAACAAAGTAATGCATTGGATGAAATTAGAAGAAATGCAACCAGTAGAACCGGCATTTAAAGAAAAGTTGAAAAGTAAAAAAAAAGCAGCCGCGTGGTTTGTCTCCAATTGCAATGATATATCAGGACGAAAGCAATTTGGAGATGCATTGAAAATGGAACTTAAAAATTATAAACTTGAATTAGATGTTTATGGAAAGTGCGGGTCGTTATCATGCTCTCTTGAAGACGAAAACGAATGTGAACGAAAGATAGATGAAGTGTATTATTTCTACTTGGCCTTTGAAAATTCGTTCAGTGAAGATTATGTGACAGAAAAACTACTACACGCTTTGAAAAATAATGCAGTACCTGTCGTTTACGGTGGCGCCAATTATTCGAGGTTGGTACTAAATATTGGTACTACATATGCAAAAAATAATCTTGAGGTTAGACTCAGACTCAACTTCTTATTTATTAATTTAACATGATAACATCACATACATCGTTTGATCCCAGTTTATTTACGTTATATTAAGGATGACAAAACAAGCACATGACCCGCTTCAGTAAGCAGCCACAGTAAAAATAACACTCGCGCAACGATCGAGGCCGTATCCTGGCGTACCCTGCCCCAATACCCTAACCCGTGGAGCCCTAAATGTTATTCTACTGTGATTTTCTGTAAGGTGCAGATTACTTCCCAAGACGAGCGCTTTAATACAAGCGGAAAATGCACTACCCTACCACCCTAACACTCTTACAGTGTGACTTAATAAAGCTGTTGGTTCAGCACTGAATCACACTAATCACACTAATATTATAAAGGCGAAAGTTTGTGAGTGTGTATGTTTGTTACTTCTTCACGTCTAAACGGCTGGAGCGATTATAATAAAATTTGGTATGGTGTTAGTTTACACCCTGGATTAACACATAGGCTACGTTTTACTGCGGGTAAATATCCCTAATAAACCGCGGGTAACACCGCGGGGCTCAGCTAGTCAAAAATAAACCTTTCCTGCTCTCGACCCACCTTTAGTGGTGTGCGATCTGTATTTTTGATTTATTTTCTATACATACTTAATATTTTTGCTGAAGTTCATAAATATTATATGTATTTATCAAATCATCAATTTCATAGAAATCTATAAATTAACGTAGAAGCTTTCTTAAACAGTACTCTGAGCACAAACCAATATCGAATTCCTAACGTTTGCGAGTCCGAAATTTCATTGTCAAATGTGTACTTATTTTTAGTTCACGTACGTACTTTGTGGCGCCGCTGTTCAAAATTCAATACAAAATTTAACATTGCCATTTCGCACTCGCAAACTATTCGAATTCGATAATGTTTCGTGCTAGGGGAACAGTTAACTACTTCAAAAGGGATAATATTTGAATGATCCTCAAAAGTAAATGATCACCTAAAAATAAAATTGGTTAGTTTACCAATTGTATTTTTAAGGATCAATCACTATTATTGTGATGATCATTTGAATTGTGCTCATAAAGTAAATGAATTGGTGAATGGGTAGGGTGACAGGATTTGGGGGGAGGAGGCCCATATAATCTCGTGATGAGGTATGCGTCGCGTATTTTATTTACGTTTAAAAATATATAAATAAGGTGTGACGCGTCTTAGTTAACTAAATTGATAAAACCGACGAAGGGCGTGTCTAGCTGCGCGCAGTTTGTAATGCCGGCACTTCACTTGACTATTCCGGTTTGCTATTTGTGCTTGAAGCTGATATCAGTCTCTCCTTTTTATTCTTTGTAGAGCCTAATAATGACAGACTGGGTGTCATATTAAGAAATAGCAAGCACGAATGGCCAAGTGAAGTGTATAAGGCTCCGAAGTCGCCTATCACAAATTTCTTGATTCAAAAAACAATTTGATAGTCAGCATTTCGGGGCACGTTCAAAAAACTGCTGCTCCTGGTAATTACTGCTACTAACCGCCCTGAAACCCTGCAGTCTACGAAAAATGTACACTTTAAAGCTTAATAATTAACAAACAGATCCCTCTATCCAAAAGCTGTTTTTATAAACCCTTGATATTATTGAAAGTCCTACCCAATGGAATTCTATACCATGGGATAGACGAGGAAAATATTCATCCCCATATAATGTATTGTGTAGAGGAGGAAAACAACAAAGTTATTATATTTTCTCTGTATTAGCTTTTTTGTTTTTACTTAAGTATATCCATGCCAATTTACAGCTTTCTAGTACTAAGAGACTGGTGTAGCTGCGCCCAGCTTACTCACCAAGGAATTCTTGTATTTCAAGAATGCCAAAAAATAGTTCCCATATGAAAACATAGTGTTAGTTAAAAAGTTAGAGACACAGTTTGGTGTGAGTATGGTGGGCGTAGGTGCTAGAATGTATAACAACATAATGTACGTATAAAATAATAAAGTATGAATTAATTTCTGTATATCGTAAGAACGTGATACAATTTGTATTTGCTTCGATACCTTGCATGACATATAGCATGAATAAAGTTACGAAATGAACTACGTGATGCATAACAACGTAATGCATAAAATGTAAACTATGAAATAAATTCCATAATAATGTAATCTTAAATCTTTTTCAGGTTCATGCCAGAAGGAATCTACTTAAACGCGAGGGATTTAGGAGTAAAAAAGTTGGCGGCCAAAATGAATGAACTCATTCAAGATCCAGATAAATACGCGGAATACTTCAGATGGAAGAATCACTATTCGTTCCATTCCAGAAATGAAGATGATAGTGTGCACAATGAGTACTGTGAATTCTGTGCACTATTGAACGACGAAACAAGAATGAATGAAGTTACAATAGTTGAAAAATTTAGAGACTGGTGGAATAATCCCAATACTTGTCGATAGTTTAATAAGCTTTTCCCAATGTCAGGAACATAAAAACTCTTTGTGCGCAAGATTGTTCATTAACATATAATACAACAAAAAACAATTTTACTCTGGATCTGTGCGGTGGGGATGATGATGATGATTGATGGTGATTGTAATATACTGGAAAAAGTCTGCGGTTTCACTTGCGTTAATTTTGTGAAAAGGTTTTAGTGAGTCAAACTTAAAAGTTGGACATAATTATGCTGTTGCGGATTTTTTTATACTTAGAACTTTTAAAGGGACAAAATACCGTGAAAATGTTTTTGTGTAACTTTAACTTTTTCGCAGCGCACGCAATGGAAACTCTCAAATGAAAAAAAAACATATATGTGTATATCTCGTTTTTGCAAACATGTTTCGTCGATGCTCCGCTCCTTCTAGTGGTAGCGTCAGTTGATATAGTTTATAGTCTTCCTCGATAAATGCACTATTTAACTCAAAGATACACTGACCCGCAAAACTAAGTATCACATTTTGATTTTTATTTTCTATCCTGTATAAGTTAGATATTTTAAATAAAAAACGTTTTATAGCAAACTGTTGTAGAAAAAAAAACTTTTTTAGAGTCCTTTATTTCGAAAGTCTATCTTGTGTACTTAAAAAAAATGCAATTTAAGAGGGTGAAACTTAGTTTAGCAGGCCAGTGTGTTTTTTCAAATCGGACCCATAGTTCCTAAGATTAGCGCTTTCAACCGACTCTTCAGCTTTATAATATTAAGAATAGATAAGTAAGCGCACAAGATCTGTTATAAGTAGTGTGATGTCATCTCACTTTTGTTATAAAATATATTAATTTATTTAATAAAAGGGCAGCTAACAGATGGAGAACACCAAAATTAAAAGTATAAATAATTTATTCTTCCTCATTCATTACAGGCTCCGAAACGTCGGGAATAATGAAAAATTGAATAAATCTTGCTTTTTACCAATTAAAAGCTGTTTTATATCGGTGTGCGTGAAAATATAACAAAGACAAGTAAAGATGCAATTCATGCAATTTATGAACTTGTTTTGAAGAAACGCCCAGCTTCACACATTAGTGTCAGGCACATAGTTTACGATGTATCAAATCTGGATGATAACTTATTATATTAAAACTACTTATAGAGAAACATAAAATAAAAAAATTACATTTTTTAAAATATAATTATAATAATAGCTACTAGATGATTTGGCGTAAAGTTGTCTATTTACAGTTAAGTTCGTTGGCACAAACTTAATTGTAGAAGTAAATATGTATAAGTAATATTAATATAAGTAAATTTACTTATGTTCATATTATTAGAAGTAAATGCTATTATAGAAATGACCACTGTTGGCATTAGCTTTGTCAAATGCCGTTTAAGCCCTAATAAAAAAAAACTGGACTGATGCAAGTGGAAATCGCCCTCCGTGAGGTTCCGTACAAATTTTGTGTTATAAGTGTGATTATAAGTTGTACTAACAGATCATACTTAAATTTCGGTACCTTTCGGTAAAGAGAAAAATTATTTACTCTCCATTTTTTGGCATTAGCCGAAAACTATACACCATGAAAATTTTAAAAATCTGTTAAAGCTTGTGCTAAAAAAGCTCTTTTATACGATAACCCACATGACTCGGTTCACTTATTTTAAAAATTCCATACATAAAGAACCTGTTTTTATGTGATTTATGAAAATTTTACGACTTTCAGAATTTTATTTTCTGTAAAAATAAAATAATAAAATATGATTTAAAAAATCTACTACAAGATTTGGTTATCCATACAACTATGAGCGCGCATAACGTTTCTTTTGATTGTTCGAATGTTGTCGTATATATACCTTACTTTATTTTCTTTAAATATCTAATCTATAAATAATTAAAAACTATGCAAGGAAGTGACATGGTTATTAATCTTTTATAAAATAATAATAGTAATTAACTCTGTTGCTCCTAAATATTGCTAAAGGGACATTGCTGCAGTGCATGCATATTGCAAGATACTTAAAATTATTGTTGATATTTAGAGTAAAATGAATCGAATTATCAAATCGAATTAGTCTAAAAAAGAAACCGGTAGGTAAATTAAGTACATATTTTAAAAATATACTGTATGGGTTCAAAGGAATGTTTAATAATAATTATGTGTTGTATTTGATGAATTCAAAATGATATTCGAATTTTCGAATTCATGAATTTCGAACATGCAAATTGTAACTACATTTTGTAGAAATTATATATTGTCGTATGTAAAAGAGGGAAAATGGGATTTATATTCGGTTCAGTACGTTGTACGCAAGAGAACAAGAATGGAATGGAAATATTTTACTATATTTATATTATTATACTTTATTTACTAATTGATGGTACGGAACCTCCTTTCATACGAGCAAGTGTTATTTCAGCTAATAAGGTACCGGGATAAGACTCTCGGTTACAGCAATAAACTATTGGAATACAAGGACCGTAGCGTGGGAATTCAAATCAAAGATGGCGGATTTTAGTACATGCAATTTTTATTAACTACTCTCGCGGATTACATGGCGGCGGCCCGCAGCGAAACAATTGTTCTTAAAATATACTACCGATGATGGTAAGTAATGATATATTGACCCCTAAAAGTCATTAAAGTCCAGATGGGACACGTGGCGATGGGGAATGACCCGCGTGCACTCGCGAAAAAAAAACTAAAAGGGAAACTACGTGAGCTCACGGTTTGACACAAATCACTGGTGGTACCACGTTCACTCGTTGGGCGAAGCGACGATGACGGTGATGCCTCAGGACACCAACCCTTGACGTCACAGCGAGCTGCACCCTTTTTTTTTTTTTTTTTTACGCAGGTAAAAAATCTTTTTACAGACGACGGCGCCTTTAAGAGGCACACCGCCGAACGGACCTCACACCTGGCTCCCGCAAGTATTACGGACCCCCCAGTGGCTACCCACCGAGGACCCCGCAACTCTTACGGGCGCTTTACGGTATAATATCCGCTAAAAAAGTCCTGCGAATACCTCTACACTGCTTAGCGCGAAGCCGCGGGATCCCCGTTTAGGGAGTCTACCACGGCTCCACCCCCAGCAGCTTCCCGGCCTCGCCGGGGCTCCACGGCAGGGGTCTCCCGCGGTATTTCGGGGACCCCGCAGACGTGCGCAGGTAGGCCCGCGCGTGGGGGCTGGGTACGCGGCCTACTGCCCACCATACCGCCCCCCATCCGCTGCGGATGGCTGTACAGGAGTACCCGTACAGCTCTCCGCCACCCCCCCTTTGCAGATCAGAACTGCAAGAAGGGGGGTCGCCGTTCCTGGGGGAGTGGGAGGGGGAGCGATCTCCCATCCTTCACTCCTCTCTCTGTCACCCGCCTCTCCTCGCCCCTTCTCCTTAGAGAAGGGAGAGGAGACGCGGGCGGTTAAGTTGGGGGGTCCGAGCGGCCTAGGCTACTCGGACATCCCCCCCTCCGAGGGCGTCCGTCCGGGCGCCGCCTCAGAGGCCAAACGTTCGAGAGGCTTCCCTTTTGTGACCGGCGGGTCACACCTCCCGCTCCCCATTATGTGGTCTGACGGCCGACCACACGCCGCGCACACCACACATCTGGCGGGGGCAGCACACGTCGCCGCCTTGTGCCCCGCTGCCCCGCACCGGAAGCACAGGGTGCTTCGGTCTTCTTTAGCCGGGCAACGCGCCGCCGCGTGCCCCCTCTCCATGCACTTGAAGCAGTGCGCGCGCCGGCTTAGGACGGTCACCTTGGCGAGACTCCATCCCACCTTTATTTTTTTCTCCTCTGCCACCTTCCGCGCGGCCTATGTGGGGCATCGGATGAGCATCCCCCTCATTCCTATCGGTCCTGGATGAGCTCCCACCGCAGAGATTTCGTGCGCCGAGCAACCTCCCTCCTTAGCTATCGTCGCCTTCAATTCGTCCAGTGTCACCGACTCATCGAGCCCGGTTATCCTTAGGTCGGTGCACTTTTCCGGCCTGCCAATCTGCGCGTATTCACCCACAACCTCCTCCATTCTTTTGGCGAGGTCATCCGCTTTTTTCCTATTACCAGGCCCCGACACCAGTAGGAGCCTGGATCCAGTCTGGCTCGTTTTAATAGTTAAGCCGTCGTCGATGCCCACGGACGGCAGCTCGATAGCCGCCCGTGCCATCTCCACAATGCTCGTGAGGGTGAGGCCCAGCTCCTCCGCCCTGGGCTTCACCCTCATTTCAACTGCGGCGGTACTCGGCACCTTGATGTGCGGCGCCTTTTCCCCACCCTTACGCCGGTCCTTGTCGCGCTTGATCTGCGTGACGGCCTCGCCCTTCTGCGCAGGGCTGGCTGCAGGAGCCGTACCCTTGCTCTTCTTCCCCCTCGCGGCCACCACACTCCAGGGCTCCATCGCCCTCGTCTCCGACGCCTTCCCCACCTTGCGATCAGACGCCAGTGGCGGTCTCAGGCTCTTAGTTGGTGGCAGCTGGAGCCTTTCCTCTAGAGAGGCCAGCCGGGTGTTGACCATCTCCCCTATGGATACCACAAGGGAGCATTTCAACTCCTCGACGGCCTCGCTTGCCAGTGACACGACTGACTTTCTCTCCAGGGTCCTCTTCAGAGAGTCCACCTCCTTTCTCAGGGACTCAACCTCCGCCCTGAGACACCCGTTCTCCTCTCGGAGCCGACAATTCACCTCCTCAACCCTATCAAGCCTGTCCGTCTTGTCTGCCTTCTTCAGGGCCACCTCCATGAAGTCGGATATTTGTCTCGCCACCACCAGGAGAGTCTTCCTTGTCGACTCATCATCGACTTCCTCATCCGCGACCTCTTGGGGATCTTGCCCTTGGGTCTCCATCTCCCTCTCCTCGCCGTGCTTATTTTAGGTGGAGTAGGTGTTATGTCCACCACCTCTTCCTCCATGTCGCTGCCGCCTCTAAGGCGCAGAATGCCAACATCTGCAGCATCTCCCTTATACGCCTCGGTAGCAAACTTACCACTGCGGGACCCGGTAATCCCGCAGCGCCGGTGGCCAGCCGGAGCGCATGAGCCGCTAGTAGCAAATTTCCCACTCTGAGGCCCAGCTACCTCAGAGCGCCCGGTGTCAGCGGGAGTGCATGACAAAACATTCTCATAAGACGACATATTCATTACGTTTTCCCTCTTCCGGGCGAGGGAACCCTACCTGGCCTTCTTCAAAGGTGATTTTTGAAAAGGTTTTCTTCCTTGCAGCCCCCGCCCCGAAGGACGGCGGCCCCCGGCCCCACACCACGTGCGGGGTTACGGGTTGGCCGGTGGCGACACGGAGTTCGCGCCGCAACCGCCCTCACCAATGGCGTTTCCGCCTCAACCTAGAGAGTCTCGACCACCGCTACCCGGGATACCCAGGGCGCCAGCCGAGACCACCACCGGGTAATTTTTTATAGAGGTTGTCTTCCTCGTAGCCCCCGCCTCCAAAGGAACAGTTCCTTTGCAGACGGCGGCCCTCGGCCCCGCACTACGTACAGGGTTACGAGATTGTCGGATATTCGACACCTCCGTAACAGCACCCTCAGTGGGAGACATTACGCAGATGCCCAAGATGCACCGTCCCGAACCCATTTCCGTTCCCCTATCATAACTGACCAGGGATAGGCAATGGACCGGGCACACGAGGAGGTTTCCGACGTAGCACCCCGCGAGCTGCACCCTGATGGTAGGGGTCTACGGGCTGACGCCGGAGTCCTCAGCAGGAAGCACGCAGGCGGACGGAGCTCATGGGCACTTGAGCCCATCGGTGAACTTGAAGACCCGAACAATCAGGCGTGGGTGACCACATGTCACTCCACGTGCACGCAGCGGCCGCGAGATTAAACTTTACTAAACTTATTATATTATTTATATGCACATTACGGGCAGAAGTAAATACTAAAACTACGGGGCATGGCGGCGTGCCATCTTCATCCCCCGGGCTCGGTAATCGGCCGACCAAACATGGTGCTACCGGAATGTTCTATGTGGCGGACTGAATTTGGTGACGCGCGATACGGCCTTCTCGTCGGAGTGTCACCGGGCGATTGTCCCAGCAAGACGCCAATTGCCTCGACAAAGTCTCTCATGCGCGCAGGCACACATGACGTCACACGACGTTTCGTTTTGCTTTTTTCTTTTCTTTGAAAAATTGATTTTCATATTTATTTAAAACAAGCCGTAAAATGGAATGAGAATAATTTTCTGAATGCAATGATACCATTAAATCTTAATTTGGTTCGGTATTTATAAAGATATTACGATAAACACTTTTTACAATGAAATATTATTTATGATCGTGTTTTCAGACACAGCAATGATTCCAGGAATGAATTAGTAGACGAAACGTAATCAAGGATGTATGTTCGATCGTAATTAATGGTTGTTAAATTGTGCTACCTATTATTTCATGATTTATGTACTTATTGTTGACATACTATTTGCGTGACGTCACGTCTTCAAAGAAAAGTCGTGTACCACGACAATATATACATTTGCTTTTTATAAATTTTACCTACCAATCAGAAAGGTTTGCAAAGATTTGCTTGCATTATGTTGCCTTTATTTTTTCCTCTTTTTACGCAACAAAAGAATCCCAATATTTACAATTGTTTTTAAGCTATTGCATAGCTTTTATCGCGGGCTCTGAGCGCGGCGACTGAATCAAGAAATTCCGTAACGAAAATAAACCTAACACCCCGCACTCCGACCGGTACAGCGGTGCGGCTTTAAAAGCTGTGCATCGTCTAACGTCGTTTCAGTTCGACAGACTTCGGCACGGCACGTGCAACTAGAACTATGCTTGTAGACTAGCTGCTAACTGCTCATAACTGATTCTATGTCTTAGACACAATGCTAGGTGAGACAGCGTGTTTTTTAGCCGCGGTCATGAGTGAATTGCGTGAACCTTAACGTTCATGTATATGGTACGACTGTACGAAGCTCGCACGGATTGAGACGAGCTGCTCCGAAATCGGACGAATACGTAAGCAGGCGTTTGTGAGAAAGTAAATAGGTGTATAGGTATCTATCATCTACTTACAGCAGTGAATAGCTGTACGCGTAAAATTTGTGTATAAAATAATGCTTGAATAAAATAAATAAATAAATATAATTGCATAAGTTGATGAAAAAATGCTATGCTATAGCTTTACCGCGGCAGTCCCCGAGTGCCACACGCATTTTTTTTAAGTTGTGTTTTCTATAAACAAAACTCAGAACAAAGAAGAACCCATTTCAAAATAACGCATTTAAAAAAAGAGGATATGTAATTGATTACCTATTTGAGGAAGAGTGGAACCTTTTAAGGGGTTGAACGGTAAGTCGCGATTTTTGGAAAAGTACAATTTATATGAAAAAAAATTACTAAGAAAATTTACATACAACTACATTTTTTCTATTTAAAAAAAACAATAGGAATTGTAACTTTCCCGAAAACCATGATAAACCGTTTTCCCCCTTAAACAGTCACCCACCCCTCATCTCTCCTGATCTCTAAACGCCCGTAAATATTTTTTCCTCATTTATATGCGTTCTCTTCTTCTGTTTTTTACTATCAATTATTTTTTGACCCAGGCCGGCGACATTAAACTTTCAAACCATTCAACCTTGGCTTCAAAATCAGTGTGTTTTTATTTTCTTTCTTAATGTTTGCTATTAGAACCGCTTTTTATGTCAGTCTGTTCAACTTCTTCTTTGTCTTAAAGGTCCTATGACTATAATTACTTCATTATTGCTATTTATATTATTACTATATATTATTATTATCTCTTATTCGATATGTGATATTATGAAGGTACCTTATTGATAGTTATGTAATTAATGCAAAGCCTGGAGTATGACTGCAAAATAATTGACTATATAAAAAATGTTTTATACTTCAAAGATGATGTTGTTAATAAAATAATATTAATAGGATTA